TCCTTGAGATGAAGCACCTTAGCGTGGCACTCTGCTGTCTGCAGTCTGCTCACACGATGCAATAACTCAAATTTGCACCGACGCGTAACCCATGACAAAGCACCGACGACCGATCTGAGCTGCGCTGTCTCACCCCCATAGCATTTTCTCGTGGGGGGACTGCCCCTAGGACAGGATGCAGCTCCGACCTTCTCAATATGATCCTCGGCCGTAATACTCGCCGTGAAATCTCTTCATCACGAACAAGTTCTAGACCGCAATAGCGGAAATCATCTGACTTGATCTCGCGAGTATCAAACTCTGCTAGTACCGAAACGATGATTGCCTGGCTTATCTGCAGCCCACGGCATGTCATCTACATGTGTATCTAGCACACACGCGATCTCATCCCTGTCATTGTGAATACTGAACAAAGCGGACATGACACGATACCCCTTTAGACCATTAGCTTCAAACCTTCTGCGAAATCCCCCATAAACCTCGTCCTGCGCCACGCGCATCATAGACGGGCACGCGCGCGATCAGTGCCCCACCGTGCGGTACTCCTTCGAGATCGAGTCCATCGGGCGGCGGCTCGAGTAGCGTGAGGCGGTCGAGTTCCTGACCCTGGAAATACGCGGATGTGATGTCGGCGCGCTTGCGTCTTCGTTGCGCCGGCAGCCCATGATACCATCAACCTTAGCCCTTCTAGTTCGCATGTTGGCGAATCCGCGCGCGTGCCCAACCACTCTTCCAAATCTCCGCGTGCGACAAATCTACTCTTGCACTGCGGTGCAACCGGAGCCCCCTCCGGTCTGCGGAGATGTCCATTCTCAATACACTGCGTTGGTACCACGCGATATCCTTCGCCGAAGAGACGTTGCAGTTCCACGGAATCGGTAGGCACAGCGGCGTTGGACTTCCGCCATTTTCCCCATGTGTCTTGTCTTGCGAGTCGTAAACCACTTCTAACGTCCTCAATTTCTCGATGCTATACCATATTATGCGCGCTCTTTTTTTCTTGGATTGCGGCCTATGAACGGCACGCTCGTTGAAGAATCCGACAACCGATTCATGCGGCTTAACAGCGAATGATGCTTCCCTGCGAGCTGGCAGATCCACGCCCGGCCCTGACGTTCCGGCACGGCGCATGGCATAAAGAAGCGGGTTCGCCGGCTCGGGAGCTGGCTCCGAGGCAGAATCGGAAACCCTTCCCGTGCTACCATCAACATTCTGGAATCTTCTGCGTATCACTTCTTTACGACTCTGTATACTGTGTGGCACGTCGTCTAGCAAAGACCTCTGGAGTGGCATTCGAGTGACCAGCGATGACCTCGACGCGGGCCACACAGGAACGACCATTCCTTCAGACTGTTCGTATTCCTCCATTTGGCGAAATGCTTCTTCTATGAACTCGGGGTCCTCTGGGACCCCCGGCAGTTCCTCTGTCGCCATGAGATGTTCTTGTACAGAATGCTCATGTACCTGTGGTTATGGCAGCTCGCGTCTTTCGGCCACAAATGACTGTTGTTGTCCGTCTGGAGGTGCATATCCTTCGACCCCGCCGTCGCGATGCTTGGAGAGATACTGGTATGCCACCGCCTCCGCCGCAGTACACGGTCGAAGCCTGTCGACAGCCGCGCAGACAGGCACACCCTCTGTGATAACCCATGCGTTTTGGCCGTCGAATCCAACGATACGAGAACCAGCGCTCCACTGAGCAGTGACTTCGCCGTCGGCCCGCCTTTTGCGGAAGCACGCTACAACGCCTACTTGATTTTCCCCAGCAAGTGGCGTTGCTTCTCGGAGAGCGGCCCTCGCCGCTCCACTCCCCGACGTCGTGCGCCGCGAATGTTTTCCTGGCGGACGCGCGGACCGCGCCCGGGCGAGAAAACTGGCCGGCTCCGTCCTCCGCAACAGTCGCATGCACTCCTAAGTCGAAAGCTTCCTCGTCATCGAATTGGCTCCCTGGGACACGGGGCATCTTTCCGAGCGCCCACTGAGCAGGCGCGAACCCGCCGACCCGTGGCATCTCATTATTTGCGTTGTCAACTTCTGATGCAGTAGAGATGATTTCATCGAGTCTGGCGACAATTTTGTCGTGTACCACCCTTTTGAAGATGTTCTTCCCAAGTCCACCATGTCTCTCGGCGCGGCCTATCTGCTCGGGAGACTCGACTCCGGCGTCGCGGAGGTCGGCCCCTTGACTCTTATCCCATTGCAGAAACACTCCTCCGTTGTGCAATCCACGATCTAACACCATTCGTTTGGGCCCACCTGCCCATGCACACCAGAACTGTTGGAGCGCAGCGAGGCATGCTCTAGAAGACGGCGCACCACCCCCCTGCTGCCCCCCCCCCCAAAAAAAAAACGCTGAAATGTTGCATCCTGGCACGCTATGTTCAAGAAGGTGCAACGTTCACCACTGTTGTCCTTTACCTCCAGACAGTCAATACCGATGTCATGATTGACGCAGAACTTCTGAGACAAGGCAACCTTACGAGTCTGAGTTAACGGCTTATGATGTTCGCGAGATCCACATCGATAATTATTGGCAGCTTCAATGTAGTCCGACGACATCCTCGAGACTCTCAACAGCTGCGCAAGAACACGATTATGTACGTGACCAAACTGTCTGCGCAGTCGTCTACTAGCGACCCTTATGCGGAGCGGGATTTGCAACCACGCTTTCCTTCTATGTCCTTCGGGTTCTGGCTCGCCAGGTAAGTTGATTTGTTCTAGGCTACCTTTTCCATCTCGCAATCGCCCCTTTGGGACAGTGGCGACGTCGCCATCACCGATGATCGCGTCCATATCGTCTCTAGCTCTCTCCTCTGCGGCTTCAGCGGGGAAAGCTGAAAGTGCTAGCCTATCTAGTCTAACCTTCTGGCCTGACTCTCTGTGGCGTCTGCCGAAGTTACCTTCTGGCCGAAGTTCTGACTCGCGACGCCTGCATCTGACTCGAGGTTCGAGTTCAGCGCGCCGGCAACCTCAAGGCTTGAGCAACCAGGCCCACGACCTAGCGCAACAGTTACAGGACGATGGTTCTGAGCCAAACCAGAGAAACAGTCACTGATAGCAGATGGTTTGAAGCAACAACAAGATCAGGATTGCGCTCGACGGTGTCTTTTGCCATCGATGGCTCCCAATCTGGGCGCACCACCGTGTCGCTCGAGACTGGGCAGGCGAACGCGATGCCAATGACGTAGAGCAGCACCCCGGCCAGGTTGGCCCCCACTCGTCCGCGAAGCAAATCGGTGTTCCTGATCGCCCCCTCGACGATCTCCTTGTCGGCAGCAGTCATGCCCGGCGCGGACAGCTCGGCAACACACGCAGACAACAACTCATCTTGAATACTGGTACGAAGCAATTCAGAGCAATAATTGGCACGAATCTTCGCATTCGTAGTGGTCACCTCACGCTGATCCAGCTGCAGGGACGCGCACAAATACGATGTTCCGTCAACGCGGATTCTCGGAGGCTGCAAAAAGATTACCACTCGATCGTACTCTTCAGCATCAACAGAAGAACGCATGGCAACATGGTCTTCTATACGCCTCCAGGACTGGGTGTCCTTTGTTCGGCCCATTGAACTCCTCTTCCAAGAAGGCCATGCCAGCGGAAACCTGATCTGGGCGCTGAACGGATCAATCTTGCAGTTCACACGCACGAACTTCTCAGTGCCCAGCTCGTCTGCGCGGCCAGTCGCTCCCTCTGAGGGGAAAGATCGAGGGTCAACGCACGCGATGAAGTTCCTTTTCTTGCCCTGCTTCTTGGCCTGCTCGAAGAGCGAATCCAGCTGCTCTGCGCCAACTGCAATCGGCTCGAAACCCACGACTGGATCTCCGGCCCGATCACCACCCACCGCCGCCAGGTCCCTCTCGACAGGAGAAGTCGGGGATCCTGAACGAGACGCACGAGTCTCGTTCGACTCGTCGTCGCTGCTGGCGGCCACAGCACTCGCCGGAGGCGGTGGTGGTGGCTGCGGCGGCTCTACCCTGCGAGGCGGCTCCGGTGGCGGAGCTTGCAGGGGAGCCCTGAGGCGCGCAGGCGGCGCTCCGTCCGGCTGCCTCGGCACGAGGACAGCTGGCATGTGCTTGGGCGGCGGCATCATAGGTGGCATCCAAGGAGGGCGATCGATAGTGCCCGGAAGGGCAGCTTCGCCCGGCGGCAGACCCGTCGCTTTGCTGGCGCTGCTCGCGCGGGCCCCCCTCTCCGGCACGTCGTCGCCATCGTCCTGCGAATCTCGCGCTCGATGCGAAGTGGGCGATGCAGCGGCAGAAGACGATGCGGCGACAGGTGGCGGCAGCGCAGCAGCAGAGGAAGAACTACCACCAACGAATTCGGGTAAAATACAAGTCTCTGCATACTCACGAGCAATACGTAGAAAACCGCATATATAATCTGCAGGCGCCCTGTTGTCCTCGTGACAGACCTTGAAATAGAACTGCAGCTCTCTCCCAGCATATCGCCCCATCATGACCTTGAAAGCTGCCCCAATAGATTCAGAGCCAAGACGTTCCCGCCAGATCGTTCTACCCCAAAAAGGCACACGACGACGGCGACAGGGGGAGCGAAGGAGGAGGAGGAGGAGGAGGAGGCGGAGGCGGAGGAGGAGGAGAATGAGGAGGAGGAGTTGGAGGAGGCGGAGGAGGAGGGGGAAGAGGAGGAGGAAGAGGAGTGGTGAAGGAAGAGGAGTGGTATGGACAGACTCGCACGTCCCATCTGATGACAAGGCGCGGCGGACCTTACCTCATGAGGAGGTCGACAGACTCACGACCGCACCAGCTAGCTTGGAGGTCCGCGCGGCTTCCTTGGATCTGCGCTGAACTCGCCTCCCTGGCGCGCGGAGCGCGCCAGTGGCGGATTCTGAGGCGCCACCAGGGGAACTCAAGCACAGTTCCAAGAAATCCACAATGAGCTCCGAAAGCTCATATTTCTGTTTATGTAGCTCTGTCCTCGTCGAGAGGAGGAGAGGACCGATGATCAACAAAGGAGGCAGCGGTTGGCAGCGGAGGCGCCCAGGTCCTGGAGGAGGAGCGCTCGCGCGCGCCAGCGCCAGATGCGGTCCTCGGGGCAGCGCGGCTCCGGGGCCGACCCCAGGGGAGGGGGGTCTTGGGGGCCACCATCGGGGGGGGGAACTGGCATAGGGGGAGACTGGCAAAGGGTGGGGATGATAGGGGCAACGATAAGGGGGGGCTGGCTTGCGGGGCAACGATAGGGGGGGATTGGCGTACGGGTGAAAACATCGACCTGGAATCAGCGACACATCCCCGATAGATCGGCGATAGGCAGGCCCCCGATAGCAGATCCGCACGTGCCTGGGCAGGTTGGGGCTATCGGGCCGCTACTGGCGATGAATGGGCGATTAGGGGTCGATGCATCCCCCCTGAGCCCATCTCCCCATATCGTTGCCCCTTGAGGGCTCGGCCGCGGCGACCCCGGTCCTCAGACCAGGCCCTCGGATCGAGGTTCGAGGATCGAGAATCGCCGAGGTTCAAGATCCCGAGGATCGGGTTTGTGTTTCCTTCTTGTTGTGGGATGCGGCGATGTTCTCGTCGCCATGGCTGGATTACCTCCGAACTTCTGGCAGGCGCGCACCCCAGGACAAGTCGGGCGGTCCAGTTGTGACCCCCGAGCCCAGAACACCTCGCGTCGTCGTGAATCGATCACGACGGACAGCATTGACATTGGTCGTCATTAGGAGGTCCTTGCCACGCCGCTGGATCGACAAACAACGAACCAGGATAACAAGCCCGCTCAGCGGAAGGGGGTTAAGACATCTGGAGGTCAACATTGCAAACACATCATGACGTCGATGGTCTGGATGCTACTCATAATACTCCTCAGCCCAACCACCTCCTCATCCTCGAGTCGTCATCATCGTCATCAGCACCATCAACACCACCATCGTCATCATCGTCGTCAGCATCATCACCACCACCATCGTCATCAGCATCATCAGCATCATCACCACCATCATCGTCATCAGTATCATCATCAGCAGCAGCATATCACAATCAGCATCATCGTCATGGTCATCATCATCAGCAGCATCAGACTCAGTATCATCACCATCATCGTCGCCGTCATCGGCATCACCAGCATCAGGATCACCATCATCACCACCACCATCATCATCATCAGCAGCAGCATCATTATCATCCACATCGACCGTGCCACCCACCACCACTACCACCATCATCAGCATCATCACCACAATAACCATCATCACCATCACCATTGCCATCATCGTCATCACCACCACCGTCATCATCAGCAGCAGAAGCGGCATAATCATCAACATCAGCATCGTAATCACCATCACCATCATCATATGCATCGTCATCATCATCAACACCATCAGCATCATCAGCATCAGCATCATCATAATCAGCATCATCACCATCGTCGTCATCGTCAACGCCATCGTCATCGTCAGCGTCAGCGTCATCGGCATTGGCATCGTCATCGTCATCGTCATCATTATCATCGTTATCGTCATCGTCAGCATCACCAGCATTATCACCCGCACCCTCATCCTCATCCTCGTCCTCGTCATCGTCCTCATCACATCATCATACTAGGCCTTATATTGCACCTCCGCCTCCTCCATGGCCGCATCCTGTTCCTAAGTGTTGCCCGCGATCGTCGAGGATAGAGGAGGAAAGTCCCTGAATTTCGGAAGTTTCAGTGAGAACATCTGTCGACCTCCAAGGACCGATGGGGATCTGAATCTGGAACGGACAGGAAACTGACCACAACCTGCTCCTAATTCCTCCCTTGGACTTCGCGGACTCCTTCGGAATCCTCCCAAGCCCAAGACAGAAATCCCAGGAGTCCGCTGGCCGTGGATAGAGCCCCGCCTCGGATCATCCTCGATCGTCCGCCTCGGACCATCCTCGATCGTCGACCTCCGGCGGCGGCCGCGGGCCGCCGTCGGCGACGGCGGCGGCCGTGGGCCGTCGGCGACCACCTCCGTGCGAAGCTCGAGGCCCCGAGGATCGAGGACCGCTGGCGGCCCAGCGCCGCCAGTGGTGGGCGGCGCGCACAAGGTGGCAGAGGAAGCGGGGGAGGCCCAGGGTTAAGTCGGGCCTGTCCCTCTACAGGAGTAATACTCAAAAATGTGAATACATTGTCAGGGGACGATTGTTTAACAATTTGTAAACAGTTGGGGGGTATGTGTTGCGTTCCTATGTATTTTTCTACCCAAAATGCCCCTCTAGGGGGACACGCCCGACTTAAGCCAAGGGCCGACCCCCGGGGAACTCAGCGTGGAGGCCCGAAGGTCCGTGCCCCCAGCCTGTCGCTCCAGCTTGGAACCCCCGGGGTCCCCCAAGGGCCTCGCGAGGAGTGCCCTGGAGGTCGCGGGGACTTCCTCCTCCTCCGCCTCCGCCTCCTCCTCCTCCTCCTCCTCCTCCTCCTCCTCCTCCACTCCTCCTCCTCCTCCTCCTCCTCCTCCTCCTCCTCCTCCTCCTCCTCCTCCGCCTCCTTCTCCTCCGCCTCCTCCGCCTCCTCCTCATCCACCTCCTCCTCCTCCTCCTCCGCCTCCGCCTCCTCGGGGCTTCCTCGGCAATCCTGGGGGCACCTTGAGCCAGGGGCACTTCTAGCAACGCGCGAGTCGTGGAGGCCCAAAAGCCCCTGCCCGCGCGTCGACTCCTGGCGACGTGCACAGGGGGGAGGGAGGGGGGGAGGCCTCTTAGCAGGAGGCTGCTTCTTGGCGGGCGCGGGCCTTGCATCTACAGATCGGGCCCACCTCCCCTGAGAAGCAGGGCGCTTCCCAGAAGCCCTCCCCCCCCACACCCCCTGCGCGCATGCCTGGGCGATTGCCGTGCGAGCCGAGCCGGGCGCATCGAGCCTCGGCGCACCGAGCCGGGCGCATCGGCGCCGGGCGAATCGCGACCCGGCCGATGCGAGCCGACGCCCTTCTAAGAAGCCCCTGCCCCCTGCGCGCGTGGCCGAGGTGGGCCGCGGGGGCGGCCGCCGACGGGCCGGCGGGCGGCCCTCCGCCCCCTCGCCGCGGGGGTCCCCGTGGGCGGCCGCCCGCCGCGTCCCCGGGAGGGCACCCGCGGGGCAGGCGGCAGCGCGCCCGGGCGGCGCACGGCATCTGGGGGGCGGGCGCAATCGGAGGGGAGGGGAGGGGAGGG